AAATGCGGGTTGCCAGCTCGGGCAGCAAATCAAAATCAGCCCAAACTGTAATGGAAACGACAAATACGTGCGCAGTTCCTCAACAACAGCAACAACTACTAGAGAAACAAGAACAACAGCAACTGTAGAGAAAAACAAAAATTTGTGACAGTAAATTTAACGGCAAGTGCCTCATCAACACACGCTGTCATGTTGCAAGTGGCAGGCAGACAGTGCCACATGCTTTTTTTTGTTTTGTTGTTATTTTACTTTACACAAACGCTGACGTAACAAATTTTAGCCGCGTTTTATTTGGCCTGCTCAATTATTGGCGGGAAATCAAATCGAACAAAGATTTTCTATTAGTCCACAAGCAACATGCAAAATTATCCACAGGGGTGTGGCTGGAAGTGGGCGTGCTGGGAGGGGGCGATTGTGAATTTCAAAATTCAGCACACGTTTCCTTTTGTTAGCTATTTTTATTTCCTTCTCGTTTTTTTTTGTTTTTTTTTGGGCAATGGCATCAAATGTGGCGTTAACTTGGCGTCTCTGACAAATCTCAAAGCGCGCTGAAAATCAAATTACCAAAAACATACAGCTAAAAATCACTAAAAGGTGGCGTTGGAGGTGGAGGGGCAGCAAGTGAACAGTGGTGCTGGTGGTGGTGGGTTATGTTCGACACAAAACTCACGTGTCATGATGCACTTGAGACTGGGCGCAGTCCCAATGCCACCCACTGCCACCCACTCTCGCCCACTTTCGCTCTGCCTCTGTCATTGTTTTCGACAGCAGTTTTTCGATAAGGGGGTTGGGAATTGGGGGTTGAGGGTTGAGGTATGTACACACATTGACATTGTCTGCTGCGGCAACTCCGTTCAGTTCTCAAATCAAAAACGTATCAAATAAAAGATTGCTTCTATGCTGCATAGCATACTTTTGTGCGCACTCAACACGTGCTCAGCTTCAGCCCACCCCCTCTCCCACAGCCCAAAAAAGCCCCTGTGACGAGTGGCTTTGGCTCGAATACTGCTGCTGTTAGCAGGTCCTGGCCCTGGCCCTGGCCTCCTGATTCGGCCTCCAGGTCCGGTGAATGCGACATTTTTCGAGAGCAACTTGGCCACTTGGGAGTTTCTAGTTTCGAGACGCTGACGAGGCGACGATGACTCAAAGCACCCCTACCCTCCCCCCACAATAAGAAAATCTGACACTTGCACAGAGTAAAATCAGAAAATCACCAAAAATAAAAATAATATAAACAAAAATAGTAGCAGCAACTTTTTAAAGCACTCGAACATGAACTTCTATGTATTTGAAACATTTGTTTTGGTTGCTTTTCTTGGCTTACTTTTAATGGGCGGAAGTAAATAAACAGGAAATAAAAAGTTTAAGTATAGCATTATAAAGCAAAATTAAAGAAATATAAAACATATGTTTTGCAGTATTTGTAAATGCGCAATCGAAAACCAGATGAAGTAGATGCGTTCATTTATTTATTTAATGTCGACTAAGATCAGTAATCACAGAAAAATACAAAAATAAATCTTTAAATCTAATGAAATACAACTCAATATTATCGCAATTGAACTTTACATAAAAATAAATACAAAGAAATGTATAACATTTTTGGGGGAATTGAAAATAGGTCCAGCATTTGTTGCCTGCTTTCTGAAAAGTTCAGAAAATAAAAAGACTTAATATGAATCAGTTAAAAATATCGCGTATACGTCAAATAACAGGATATTCTACCAGTCAACTGGCTCACTTTTAAATCCATAATCATGTTACTAATAATTCGATTCGACTTTGATCGATTTTTGGTCATGCAAAATTGGCAACTATTTACGGCAGCCAGCTAATTAAATAACCAAATTTCTAATGTCCATCGCGGTGTTGGCAATGCATAAAATTAACCCACAAACATGACTCAATTCCACACCACAATAACGATTCCATCAACTTGTAGCTTGCAGCCTTGTGGGGCGACTCTTTTTATTTGGTGTTGAATGTGTGAAAGTGCGCTTGCATTATTTCATTAAAATAACTGTCAAAAATTTCACGTATGCCACACACACACAAACACGCGCACACACGCACACACACTCACATCCGAGAAAAGCCTGCGGCTGTCATGTACAACCCAAGCCACCCAAATACACACACACACACACACAGATAGCTATAGGAAAAGCCAACAAAATGCTAAACGCTTCAAATTCAAACGCGTATTTTGTGGCGCCTCCGCTGCTGCTGCCTCTGCCTCTGCCGTTGCTGCTGCTGCTGCGTCGCAGCTGTCAATGGGAATTCTGCAGGTGTCAAAAATATTTTAGGCATCACTGTGTCTGTCTCTCTGCATTACTATGTGTGCTGCGTCTGTGTGTGTGTGTATTAAAATTGGCATAAATTGCTTTAGGGCCTTGTGGGTAGCATAAACCACACCACACCACAACCCACAACTCTCTCTGTGTGTGTGTGTGAAATTAATTTTCATTATTGGATTTCGCGACTTAGACATCATTATCATGTTCTTATCGGCATCGACACTCAAACACACACGCCGCCAACATTTTTGCTCTTGATGTGGCACCTAATCGCTCAGAAAGCTCTTCGAATGTGCCACAAAGCCCAATCACAATCGATTTTCGATTTAAAGAATTTGTGATATGTCAAAAGCTGTCGATTTGGCATTTGTGTCAGTGTTGCAAGCATTTTATTTTTGAATTTACTTGCGCTTACTTTCGGTATGCACACATTTTCTAGCTATTGATTCATATTAATAAATAAATAAAGTTATAATTCAAATTATTCTTAAGTCGATTGTTAGGATTAAAACATTATTAGATTTGCTTGCAGCTTGAATTAAATGTAGTTAAGCAACATTTGTATAGCACAAACTGAATTTTTATTAGTTTTCTGGAGTTCATTTTGCTTGCAAACATTTTTGTGATAAATGCTTTAATGCCAACAAATAAGAAAAATATATAAATAAATGTACAAATTACATCCAAGTGACAGATATCAATGTTGGTTATGTGTTAAGGCCATTGTCAAATTGCTATTGTCATTTTGGGCTGAACAATTCAATTTGAGTTCAATGGGCTGCCATAAGGGAAACCCAATAGCAAAACTCAAGCATTGTGGCTAAAACTGAGTGCTGTTCGAGCTGAGGCATAGTTTGCATGAGTGTCTCTTTTGGAATGGGCCGTGACAGAGAAACCATTTTATGGTTACCCAATGCTTCACAGATAATGAAGTGGAAGCCCCAGGCACACACACGTGCTCCTTCGTCTGTGTGTGTGTGCGAGTGTGTGTGTGTGTGCGAGTGTGACTTGCAGAGCCAAACAATTTTGTGGAAGCCACAAAACTAACCAAGCAAATAATTTGTGAAAATTGAATTTGCTTCTCTCGTTGAATATGAATATCAGAAGCAAACTTCGACCTCAATTCTTGAACTATTTTTGGACGAATTACAAATAATTTGTGCACAAAATTTAATTTGATTGTAGAAAGGAAGAAAGCTGCCAGTTTGCGCATCATTGCCAGCTTAATTGCGAAGCTCGATATATCAAAGTCCTTTTGGCGGCGGCCAAGTAACCAAAACGAATCGAAATCGAATCACGTTGTCGACCAACAACCAACCACCAGAAACCAACTTCAACCTACTTCAACCAAAGAACAACAGCAACAGCAACAACAACAACGACCACTTTAACAAAATGTCAAGTGAAAAAGCATTCACAAATCTTTGGCCGCACTCTCGAGCCGGTTTGTGTCCCACAAAAAAACTTTTCAAAATCAACGCCGCGCACCTTTTCTCAAAAGGTAGCGAAACGTGAGCTGACTTCCCAATAGCAACCAAAAATCGAAAGCGACTCGAGAAACTGAGAACTCTCAGTGCTCTGTGCTTTGTGCTCTTGTGAAAAGAAGCCAAGTTGGGCTCGCAAACATTTTTGTTTAATGAGACCAATAAAAGAGAGGCTAGGTCTGCCTGTGTCGACTGACTGCTGTTCCGGCGAAATCAAAAGTTTTTTGCAAATTGCATTTGTAATGGCAGCGACGCTTAAATCTTTTATGAGCACCATACTTAAGTGTATTACGAGGAACTCCGAGGCACGAGGCTAGGCCCGAGCACAACGGAAATGAAATTGAAAGCGCACGCACGTGTTTAAGACGTTAAAACCCTTTACTATAATTGTCCACATGGGACAATTTTCAACAAACTGAGAACTTTCAGCTCCGCCCACCACATCAAATCAAGTCAAAGCTGTTAGTCGTAGTTTTCCTTTAAATTTGTGTGCCTGAATATAATCTGAAAATATTCGTGATTTCCTATTATTCGATTTTACTTTGCCGGAGCTATTCATAATATTTATAATATATACGATTTTTATGGCGTGATCGATCAATCGATATTGTAAATGTCAAATTCTATATTAAATATCCAATTGTTTTAAAATATTAACTAAAAAATTAAGTCTGGCCTAAATTTGTATGTGAGCATTATCAGAACAAATTTTCAATTTCTTTTGATTGGGTTGTATTTACAGAATGTGCAAATATCTATACATATCTATAATATAATATTAATTTACTGCTCTGACTTGGGGATTTCTGAGGTTTCTTCTGCAGCAGAACATTTTACTCTTTTTTAAATTTAAAAAGCATAAATACTAAATGTAATTTATATGTCAAATTAATTTAATTTACTTTTATTTTTCATAATTTTCTATGCCAATAGATATTAAAGAAATTAGTAAGTAATACGATTTTCGTTGCTTGATTATTTTCGAGGAATACCAGTCTCTGTTTAGTTCTCAGCTCGGCAATCAATATTGTGCCCAATTCCATATAAAATACCTTCAAATAAGTTAACTTTCCAAATAAGAGTAGGCTATTATTTTAATGGCATTTAAGTAAGTCACATTAAAGTCATTCTCATCACAACTGAAGCAAAAGTTAAGCAGTGAGTGTCTCATTACTAATTTAATACATTTTTTTTCGCTAATTAAGACTTTTGTTTAGACATGCCCCATACTCTGTTGTTGATACATCCGATGCAGTGCCCCAAGACGCGCACCTACAGCGAATATGAGAGCATACAAGATTGCTTGAATGCCATTTGCAAGATCTACGAGGAGCATCTGAAGCGTACCAATCTCGATATGCCCACAGTTACATATGACATTGTGCAACTGTTTGATTTTATCGATTCCTTGGTGGATGTCAGCTGTTTGACGTACCAGAAGAGCACCAATACCTACGCACCCTACAGCAAGGAATGGATCAAGGACATGATCTACGAACAGTTTCGACAGACTGCCTTAGATAAATAGAGAATGATTATGCATACTACATATTTCTTTAATTGTCTACATATAAAAATAAAGCGACTAACTGGTTTGATTGTAATTAACTTAATTAATTAGCACTTAAATATCACATCATATTTTTCATAACTTTACAAAATGCAAACACAACCTTTTCAGCTTATTTTTCACTTTTTGTGTTGCTCTTTTTCTGTTGCATTAAATTATGAGTAAACAATTTGCGCACGTGAAAATGCAAATGAAAATTGATTGCTCCACAAATGTCTCGCAGAAAATCGGACACAGCGACAGAAACGTGCAACGGGAATAACAATTAATTAATCATCAGCAACAAGCGCAGAACATTAAACACAATCGTTTGGGGCAGAGAGGCAGAGAGGGCGCCGCCGGAAGTATCCACAAGTAAAAAGTAATCCACTTAAACTCAAATTTGTCAAAAGCATAAAATTACCCCAAGCGAAGGGAAAAACATTCGACAACAAGAAAGCAAACAGCAAATAAAAGTAGCAACAATAATAAAAGGGGTGTGACAAATTTTTGGAAAAGAAAAGAAAAGCGAAAAAAAAACAAATGATCGCTCATAAAAAAGTGACACTTTTTGGCGTAGCAGCAACGAAAGGTGGACAAAGAAGTCGAATAGAATGTGGAAAGGGGGTGGGAAATGGGGGAAAGCAGAATGTCGCTTTTCGTCGCATCCGTCATTTGCCACTCGGTTATATATTGGAAATTTGTTTCAATCAGAGGTTCAGCTGGGCGTGTGTATCTGCAGTTATGTGCCATATCAAATCACTCAAAGTGTTACAAAGACAACGGCAGACAATTGCACAAATGCCCAGACTGGCAGACAGACGGACAGACAGACAGACAGACCGTCAGACAGATATATAGGTAGATGGACAGACTTTTCAGGACAGACAGGTTTCGCATTCGTTGTCGGAGTTTATTGCCAAATGGTTATCATATTGCTTATAGATTTTGCAACAAGAGCCGACTGACATTGATTGATCAATATGAGAGCCGCAGTTACCTAACCGTCAGTTACCTGCCTTTATCTTATTTTTTTTCTTCTTCTTTCTTTACTCGTACTTTTTTCCTTTTGTCAACTCTTGTTCGAATGACAGACCTTTGTTTGGTGTCGGGGCTAAAGGGGGGCATTTTGGGTTGTGCAGCTGCGTTCCAAGTGATTTCTGTTTATGATTAATCACTGTGTGTGGCAACAGTTGGCAGTAGCAACAGCAGCAGCAGCAGCAGCAGGAGTAGCAGCAGCAAAGCAATTTTTTCCACAAAATTATTACTTGAGCTTTAACGTGCTCAGTTGGCAAATGTGGCAGCAGCAAAATAACAACAACTGCAGCAGCAACAACAAAGCAAATTAAAATATATTTAGGCAGCTGTGGCGAGCACTCGAAATTTACGCAGTGCAAACTTATATTTTATGATTTTGATTGCAAACACTCCGAGAGCCTAACGCCTGCCCCAAAAAGTAGGCAACGAAATATGTAAAACATTTGTCGTTGTGCAACAATGAGCCAAAACGCGAATTTCTCGAACTTATTTCAAAGTGATAAATTATTGTCCAACACTCTCAAGTCCCAGCAGGCATAAGCCCTATCTTGGATTTCTTAAGAAAAGCAAGTTAGTAAATTAAATACGAAATATGAAATATGAAATGAGCTGAAAGGCTTATCTGTAAAGGAAGCAAAAAGATGTTGTTTAATCACTAATTTAAATAAACTGTTTCATTTGTTGCAGAATAAACTATATTATTTGATAACATAAATTTGAGCATAAATCACAAGCTGCGATCTTTATATTTTTATAACGAAAGTATATATTTTAACCACAGTGCATCAATAACGTTTGGTCGTTGCAAAAGTCCTGACTGGCTTTGTATGTGATTGTGTGGCACATTGAAACAGATTGAATGAAAGAGCTGTTCCCAAAATCGCTAACAAAAGAACTCGAGAAAGTGTAGCCAAAAATATATTAATTATATTACTTAACTAGATATCAGTTTATGTAATTGTAAATGATATGCCAGAAGTTCAAGCTAAAATTATTCATGCCATTCGCAAGGCGTATAAAATGATTCAAGTTGACGTTCGCAATGCTGAAGCGAATACCAAGTTTTGGCGATATGTTGGCGAAAGCGTTTTATGGCCATTTCAGCGATACAAAACACACCAAACAGAAACACAAAACGTCTATTGCAATTTGATAACAGCAAATCGGCAGCAGTATACAAAGCACAAGCAAACACACAATTCCAAACATACAGATACAGATTCAGATACGAATACAAATACAGACAGCACACACACACACACTCATACACGAAATCACACAGATTTCAATTTGACTTCAATACGAAAATACATTTGGCGCAGCTGTTACGCGTATCTTTTGAAATATGTATGCCAAAAATATAAAAGTTCTACTGTTTCCTTACTGTATTATTTATGCGGCATTTTTGCTGCTCATTTTCCCCATGTATTTCACATAATTTAAAAAGCCAAATTGTTTTGCAATTGAAGAGAGAAACAGAAAACAAAAAAACAAAAAACAAAACAAAAAACAAAAAACGGAAGCGAATAACGAAAAACTGCCAAAGCAATTACAAACACTTTAAGGACGATGACTACGACAACGAGGATGGGCATTGAGTACAGGAGCGAGGATGATGGGCAACAGGCATTGAGTAAATATTTTTTCAGGGCAACATATTTCATGATTTTCTAGATATTTTATGCGATTCGATGTTGTTGCTGCTGTTGTTGTTGTTGTGTGAGTTGAATGAAAGGCAAGGCCCAAACAATTTGGTGTAATTTAATTAAATGAACACAGCAGTGGACCAAAGCAGCGGGCAGCCCCAGCAATGACCAAATTGCCACGAGGAGGCCAACAAACAGTCTAGACATTAGTGTGGGCGCCGAAGGAGCCAGAGCGGGGGGTGGGCGCTGGGAGGAGAGAGCTTCTGGGCTAGGACCTGCCAATTCACATTGCATTGTTCAGTGACTGAGGGGTGCTCAAAATGACAAAAGTTAATGCCTGGCAACGTTCAACGTTGGACACTGAACAAAAGCTGACAAAGGCCAACAGCAACAATAACAACAATTGCAACAACAACAACAATAGCAACAGCAACAACAACAACAGCTGCTATTAGTAGGCAGCCAGCCAAAAACCGAATGAAAATAATAAAAAGGCAATGACGATGCCGCTGACGTCCATGTTGATAGGCGACCAAACAAAAAAAAAAGAGAATAGAATAGCAAAGGAGAGAAACCAATGAAAGAGACAGAGAGAGAGAGAGAGAGAGAGAGCGAGGCAGAAGGACACAGTTGGCCATGCAGGACACCTGCTGATTAAGATCACAAATTGAAAATCATGCCGGGCGCTGACAGGACACGCTTCGCTCGCCCAGCAAGGATAGCAGCTGCTCCTGCTGCTGACGGGGACCAATTCCTACCCTACCCACCCTTCCCCCTTCAATCCCCCGCTGCTGCTGTTTGATGTAGCGTATAGAAAAAAAAGAAGAAAAGTACACTAAACATTTGTGTTATTTTCATTAGTGACAGGCGCAGGAGGAGCTCAATCAATGCCTGATGTGCGGAATTTTCGTATTAAGCTAATCGAAAGCGCAGTCTTTAGACACACACACACACACACCCACAGACACTCCCACTCTCACACACACAGACACATGAGTGTGTTGGATAAGGCTAGCTGGAGGCTGGGCCAAACATCAAAGCATTTGACGGAGACGTCTGCAAAGTTTTTGTTTACTTCAAAATGGAAGTTTGAGCTGAAAAACATATTTAACATTTAGAAAATCGAACTTAGAATGCGCTTTTTAGACTTGCTCCTAAAAAATACACTTATAACATTATAAAGCTACAAATTAATTGCTTAATTTGTTGTGTAAAGAAAATGTAATCGAATATTTCTTATCAACTAAATTAAATGAAAAGGTTTAATAATCTACCGAAAATCCTTCAGGGTTAAAAAATTAATGTACCCTACAAGTACAATTGAAAGTTCCAAGCAAGTACTTGTTGTTGTTATTGCACACTCATGCCCCGAGGAGGTCATAGTTGAGATAAAGGCAGCAGCAGCAGTGGACAAGACAGACAGTTAGACAGTTGCGACTGTGCCCACGGCTGCGAGTGCAGATGCAGCAGGAAACAAAAGTCAAAGCGCTAATGAAATTGAAATCTACACACACACACAAACACACACAGATACACACATTCAGGCAGCGGAAGGTGTTTACATCAAAGCGCAGCAGTGACCATAGCAATCAGTATTTGTCTGCTTGCACTTCGAACTGTGACTTTAATAAACCAACTGTGAGTGACTGGCATTTATGAGTGTGTTTTGCCTTTGCATACCCTATAATAGTTACAAGTGTGTGATAGGCAGTGATTTGGTAAACAACAAACAGAAGAAAGCAGCTGCAAAGCATAATCAATCCAATTAAACTTCATTCGAATTGAACTTAATTGAGAAATCTCATATTTTATGCGTAACATTCCTTAATATTTTCAAAATTACAGCGCATCTGCTAGTCGAGTTTCTACAACAACGCACTCATTACTCATTTAGCTTTCCCAATGCGAAAATCAAGTGTTAAATTTCGGACTTCATTCGCTGCTAACCACAAATTGAATTTTGTGTGTAAATTGAATTTGGACTGTAACAAATTTTTATGTGTAGAATATTCAGCACTAAATGTTGACTTTTAACCGAAGAGGAGGAGGAGGAAGTGGAGGAGGAGGAGGGGGGTAAAATTGGGGAAAATATTTTGTGGCTTGCCACATGTGTCGTTCAGTTTGTGTGGCCAAAAACTTGCAAAACTTGCAACTTTCTTAATTGTCTGATTGAATTGATGATTTAATAACTTTAATTTAATTTTCCAGCATTGTGTGTAAGTGTGCGTGTGAATGTGTGTGTGTGTGTGTCCTGTGTGTGTGTGTGTTCTGTGTGTAAAGTTCTTTAGAGTTTGGAAAGCTTAAAACTTTCGTCAGTTTGTGGCTTTCATTTGGCGTCGTTTGTGTTA